GTCATCATCAATTGTTGCGGCCCCTATCGTTTTTATGGCGAGGTGGTTGTGAAAGCCTGCATTGAAGCTGGCACTCATCATGTGGATATCAGCGGCGAACCACAATTTATCGATGGCATGGCTGTGAAGTATCATGAATTGGCTAAAGAGAAGCGCGCCTATGTAGTGTCGGCCTGTGGATTTGATAGCATACCTGCGGAAATGGGTGTGGTCTTCGCAGAACGTAATTTTCCAGGTAAAATTCGCAATTGAAGTTAACTACAAATATCCCTTGTCGCTTACTGAGCCCGGCATTCAATTCTTCGCAGGTACTGTGAACTCCATTGAAACATACTGGGAGAATACCGTCGATTTCAAAGAGGGTGAGTCAAAAGCAATGCTGCATACCGGTACTTGGGAGAGCCTTGTGCATGCGGTGAGCCATGTCAAGGAAGTGATTGCACTCACAAAACAGCTGAAGCCCAAAGATTATCCAGAGTTGAAGCCGGCTTTGAAAGTGCGGTGAGTGAGAATATAATTAAAAGCTTTCTTTCTGATAATTTCGGACTTCAACTACCAGCTTTAATTGGTATACTGCTACATATAGATGTATAAAAGCTATAGAAGTATAGCCAAAGTAGAGAAGCGCGAAACTACGCACTTGGCGCAGATTTTTAGCGAGTTATAAGGCAGTTAATAGTTAAACAATTAGCAACAATCAAAGCGACACAGCATCAAGTCAATGTCTGGTATGGAAATATTAGAAAAGAAAAATGTACAAAACAAGTCTTGGAGTAACTTAAATACAAAAAAAAAAACAAGAACAAATTGTGCTAGCAGAAACTAAAAGCTCTCTCGCGTATTTAGGCCCCCTCTGTTTAAATTAGTAATATATTAGTTAATAATTACTTGTTAAGAAACAAAACCCCAGTAATTTAAGAGAGGAATTTAATTTCGCAAAAATTAAGATTCACGCTGCCGACACTAGTACATATGTATGTACTTACAAATGTATTTTTATAATATGGCAAGTTGGCTGATAAGACATACCGGCATTCCGACAGACGTAGATATTTCTCTATTTAGTCTTACATACATATGTATGTATTTACCATAGACATACGAATTTTTTCTAAAATTAAATATATCTACATATGAGGATAGGAGGAGGTAGGAATGATGAAAACACAATAAAAATTAAATTTTTGTCAAAATTTGGAAAAATATTGTGCCTCAAAAAAATACATATTTATATGTATGTACATTAGACTGCATCACTTCCCATACAAAAAAAATCGGTACTGTTTTTCTATTGGAATTAATTTTAAGACTCGTACCAAAATATTTCGGAAAAATTTTAAGATTTACGAGAACTGGACCTATTTGAAAATACCTCCAAAAATTTAGTTAATTTGGTAATATTTTTTGAAAAAAAAAAATCACGTCAGATCACAAAACAGTTTAGGCTTAAAAATTTACATAAAAGTATTAAAAAAATGCAACGGAATCATAATGAAATTTTTTAGCCTGTTTTTGAACTTTTTTCAAAGTTTGTTTTAATAAAAACTTGAATGACTCTGTAAAAACTCTGCGTACTTTTTAAAATAAACTTATTCAAAGTATGCAAGAGATAGGTAAGATGAACTGATACCTTAGAAGTCTAAATCGGTATAGTTTTGGCCCAGTTATTCAAGTTTTTCTTAAACCAATCTTTGAAAAAAATTAAAAAAAGCATCAAACATCTCATTATTATGATTCCGTTGAAACAATATTTTATTATTTTTATGCAAATTTTTTAAGCTGTTTTGTGTTTTAACTGTTTTCTGATTCTGGATCTGATTGGATTTTTTCTTTCAAAAAATCATAGAAGAAACAATTTTTGCTTATAAAGAAACTAAATTTTTGGAGGTATTTTCAAATCGGTATTTTGGTGTAGGTCTGCAAATATAATAAATTTTTAATCCCTGTAGAAAAACCGCAAATATTTTTTTTGGTGATGCAGTCTAATGTACATATCGTCACCTATGGGTGAAAAGGTGTCAAGTCCATTTTTCGAAGTTGTTCGGGAGAGACGAAAAATCGATGTTGTTTTGTATTACCTGCCATTCTGCATCAAAATTTAAATATTGGAAAAAAATTGGACTTAGCACTTTATCACCTCTAGGTAGCGATATCTTTATATGTACATATGTACTTTGTGTATGGAAACTTCCATGTTTTGTTCCAAATTTTTTTGACTGGAATTTTTCCAATGATTCGAATTTTTAATACATACAGTATCGGTTATATCATTAGCACCCCAAAGTCAAAGTGAAATTTTTTGCCACTTACGTTTAGTTATTCATTTTTAAGAATTTTTAATTAAAATACAGTTAATTCTCTAAAAAAAACCCCCTTAAACTCCAGTTTAAAGCTTTGTAGAAAACAAAAAAAAAATCAACACATTTTGAATGTTTTCGAATATACAGTCTTGTAGCCCATTATATGTATAAGTATTTAATAATATTGATTTATACAGCTTTTAACATTGCCTCTGATTACTTCATACATATTTCGCCCCCATAGCCGCTACCCGCATAAGGTGCCTACACTTGAAAGCTACTTTGTACCCGTAATGGGTGGAGATCGCCATATCGTTACAAACACACAACGTTTATGGTTTGAGAATGAGGAAAAGCGTCCAATACAATTCGAAAATTATGTTGGTTACAAGTAAGGTTCAGCTCAAACTTTCAATCATAGCAAAATCAATTTCTAACATTTTTTTTATTACTCTTTTCTTGCCTCACAACATAACACTGAAGATCGCTACTCAACGCCATCTTAACGCCCCTTATAGTGGTGTTAATCTCTCTGCTGTCCCAATTCAATTTTACGCGCAACTTACTTTTGAAATATCCACAAATTTTCTCTTTGGGCCTCATATCACCCGATGGGCCAACGCAAGCCACTATGGAATCTCACTTCTTCCAAATGCTTTTCAAAACTAAAGGCTGGACCAAGGCGCAATCGCTGAGTGAGCAACCTAAACAGCAGCTGTGGACACGTGTATCTGGTCGCAATCCTTTCTATGCCATGACTGGTGTGGCTATGTTGGCAGTAGCGAAGATTATTTTGCAGGAGACGGACAAGTTGCCTGGAAGGTAAGAAGAGAGAGAGAGAGAGAACGAAAATAGCAGACATTTCTGAAGCTAAAATATTTTTTCTATTTCAGTGGTGGCGTGATCTCTCCTGGTTATGCTTTCGCCAAAACTAGCCTCATTGAAGACTTGGAGAAATACAAATACGGCATGAAGTTCGAGGTACTGAAGTTGGAGGCGTAGTTGTTTAGAAGCCAGTAAATAGTGTGTCGATTTTATAAGTTTTTTTTATTATATTTAAAATAAAGATAATACACACCCTGCGAGAAATAAACAACAAAACTTAATACAGTAAAAAAAAATTGTATAAGAATGGGGATAGAGAAACTGTAGCTCTTATGCAGAAGAGACATATCTTCGAGGAAAAGTAAGTTATTTGGTAATTGATTGCGGCGAGTTCAGACACGGATTAGAATTGGAATTAAAAATTTTTTACTTTTCTTTAATAAGTCATAATAAAATAAGCACGCCGTGGTTTGCCGATTGGTTAAAGGTCCGCTCTACCAATCGGTAGAACCCAGGCTCGATTTCTGGTTCACATACATTCGGGCAGTGTTTTTGTTTATAACTTTTAGTCGGATATCTCTAAAATTAAGACACTAAGCTGGTTGTTCCGATCAGTTTAGTATAATTTTTTATAAGTCTATGAACTAGAATCGAGATTTCGTCCTATGATTTCTAGCCAATCAAAGGAACTGGAATTTAATTTCTGTTTCTATACTAATCCCCAGAGAACAACCCCAATTCCATTGCTTCGGATTCATTCACCTTCGCCTATTTGTCAGTTCCCTCATTGCTCTCAATGTTCGGATACATATATCCAAGTTCGCACATGTTTATAGTTTTTTTTGTCGGATGGGATCGTGTTTCAATGTCACCATAATGGCCATTACACGTTTTTGAACGGTGCGTTTACTAGAGCTACCAGTACACATTTTTAGCAAAAAAAAAGCATTGTGCACGTAAAAAATTTTCGATGTTACCCAATTTGTGTGGCTAGGGAAGCGCAGTAACCCACGAACGTAAAAACGGAGAACGTGTCAGCTGACACGATCTATCTTTTGGGATCTGCGTGTTAACAAAAACTCACCACCTCTCTTTCTATCAACAGCACACTTGTTATCTTTCTCCGTATTTCTACGCTACGCTACGTATACGTTCGTGGGTAACCGCGCTCTAAGGCGAGACGCGATATAAATTCCTCAGTCGTTATCTCGCGCCAATCGACAGCGAAGGCACTAGGCTCAATGGAATGAAGTTAGTACAGTATTTCCCGTATATATGCATCATCTAAAATGCACGAGATGTGGTTTCCGATTGGTCTATGTGTAACTGAACCGTCACGAACGACTACTGCCAAATAATACATTTTCATTTAAAATAGGAACAAATTGAGGTATCATTTATCACCGTGATCAAGAAATGCAATGCTATAAATTACAACATTAATTTAATTATTTAAATATCCAGTGATGAGAATTTGAGTAACAGCATCTTTTAGACTTTTTAAGTAAGACCGACGATTCATGTAATTAATCTTATGGCGCTTTTGTTTCTACAAAAAAATGTGGCCTTCTCATTTCCCTCTTCTTAGTATTTGTGCGTAGTGGGCAAAGAGAAGGTAAAATTTTTTTGGTAGAAACGAAAACGCCATTAGAACTTTCCCAAGTGGCCCAAAGCTTCTGATGAATAGATGCTTGCTTTGAGGAAAGACCCAAGTCAGAATCATTTCCAAGGAAATGCAAACCCATTGAATGTTTTTAAATCCATTAAATCGAAAACCGATTAATCGAGCCCGTCCGTTACGATTTTTTGCCGATTTTTAGTTTCAATTCGTGAATCGATTCAAAAAACTTGAACAAATCAATAATGAACATCGATTCGTAAATTGATTCAAAAAACTTGAGAATCGACATACGGGTTTTCCTCAACTGATGCATATTAATCTTTGATTTGCCCTAGAAAACCGATAGAATTTCAAAGAAATTTAAATTTGAGTCTGGCACAAAACATTTGAACGATTTAGCGTCTTCAAATAAAATATTTTATATATATATATATATAGGGAAAACTTGAAAGTCGAGCCCCTCCCTGCCCTACTTGGCTATGCCCATGATTATACCGTTGTCTTGAAATATGTAGAAAACCTTTCTTTTTTTCAGAAGTATTTGAAATCTAAATATTGAAACCGTTATGAACAATGTATGTTTTAAAAAAATGACTTACAATGAATGTTTGCATTTTCGATGTTGTTATTTTTGATGTAGCGAGTCTTGGAAAAAACGTTCAGACGTGCAGCTAAATAAGTTTTAAAGATTTGATGATTTTGAATCTGGAAGTTTTGCTTATAAAAATGGTCGAAAGGATTTTTTTTGCTACGTAGAAACACTTTAATTCTCTTCAAGATCACGTGTTATATTTATAAATAAATGTGCGATAAAATCCAAAACCTGTACAAGTGGTTCACAAGATAATTTCAAAATGAAAAATTAATTTTCAGAGCTTATAAGCGGGAAGATGACATATTTTTCTCTACTTTTGGGTACAATTTAAAAATATACAAACTTTTAATTAACCTCTCCTCACTGGACACTGCAGATTAAGACGACGTCTACATAAGCTGCGAATTTGATTTTAATATCTTCCCTGAAATCTTTGGGAATAAAAGATGTGTTGTGATGAGTGGAGGGCACAATAGACCCACTAGGTCGCGGTGTATGCCTCTTTAATTTATCTATATATCTCATCTAAAAAGGAGGAGGATTTTCTTTAAATATTTTAGAGCTTATAAGCGGGAAATACTGTAACTACATACACATACATATTTATAGCAAAGACTTTCACTAATGTTTTGTTTATCTTTTGTTGTGTTATTCAATAAGTAATTAGATAACGGCATTACAATATCTGGTGCGTCCGCAAGTCATGTATACAGAAGCTTTTATAATAGGTATATTTATGTACATATAAAAACGTCCATATAAACCTTTAGAATTTCCAATTCAATAACTAAGTATGTATGCTTGCATGTATGTATGTTTTAAGCTTTAACTGAGCACTTGCTAGGCACTTTTGGACTGAGCTTAAGTCACCTCGACTACAACAATGCTAGTTATTAAATAGGTAGTCGTCCGACAACCAGTTGCTGAGAATACAAGTTCAGTCACAACGCAGCCGTCTAACAAATCTCGATTTAAATCTGAAAAAATCGATCTACATGCAAACATTAAGACGCACTAAGTTAAAAGTGTTAAAAATGTCGGCGAAATTGGATGTTGTTATATTTGGTGCCACCGGTTTTACGGGGCAAATCGTGGTGGAGAAGGCGCCAGAGATATTGCAGGGCCTCAGCTGGGGCATTGCGGGGCGTAACAAGGTAAACATTGATACTTATTCCAACAAGGCAATGCTAAAGTTCATTTAACATAATTGCGTAGAATAAGCTGGAAAGTGTGTTGAAAACTGCAGGTCAGGCAATTGGCAAAGATTTAAGTGCGATACCGATTATCTTGGCAGATGTAGACGACCGGCTATCGATTGAGCAAATGGCTAGGAAATGCAAGGTCAGTGTGAACATTTTCAACAAAGTTACATAAGTTTAAAAATATTTGCGTTTTTTCATTTTAATTTTTTGCTTAAGGTACTAATCAATTGCTGTGGCCCATATCGGTTCTATGGCGAGGTGGTGGTTAAGGCCTGCATTGAAGCCGGTTCGCATCACTTGGATATTAGCGGCGAACCTCAATATATAGACGGCATGCAAGTGAAATATCATAAATTGGCGCAGGAGCAGCAAATTTATGTGATTTCATCGTGTGGCTTCGATAGCATTCCAGCTGAAATGGGTGTAGTGCATGCAGAGCGAAATTTTCCAGGTGGGACCATTGTGGGGGGATATGTGACTGTCATTGCCATTACTTTCACTTATGTAACTACCTCGAATTTATTCCTTAGGTACTGTAAATAGCTGCGAAATGTTTTGGGAAAATATTCTTGATTATCAAGACAAAAGCTCCAAAGCTGTTTTACATGCCGGCACGTGGGAGAGCGCTATTCATGCCATGGCTAACTTCAGCGAAAGCCAAAGATTGCAACGTGCTTTGGGCGACACTAAATTGCCCGATTTGCAGCCGAAACTCAAATTTTGGTAAGGTGGGAAACCTTTTTTTATAGATCATAGGCAAAATTTGGAATTTTACTGATACAAGTTTAACATTTGGTAACCCAAACCTAACTTGGTGGAGGGAGTGAACATTTCATGCCACATTATGCAAATCAAAGATATTAAAATTTATATATTGCACGCACTTTCTTGAAAGAATTGCAAATTTCTTAATATCTAAAACATTTAATTACCGAAATTTACTAAATTTTTTCACTTACAGCGGTGAAAATATAAATAGGGAGGAGACATTTTAGTGTTATTTAGCTGTTTCCTTTTCTTTTATTTAATGTTTATTATTTTTTTTATGAAAGTGTAACTCGTTATCTAACAAAAACATGTAAGTCAAAATTTCAAACTTTTCAAAAAGCGATTTTTTTTTTGTAAGTAGCTTTGTAGCCCATTAAATTTTAGTGCAATGAAGTGCAAGTAGCTAGTACTTACCGTTGATTTTTGGCAATTTTTTGTGTGGAAAAGGTGTGAAAATTCGTCAAGTTGTTATAAATGTTCAGTTTAAAATTTTGATTTACATGGTTTTTT